CAAACACCGAGTGTTACGAAAGGAGCATCACGTGATAGTTCAACTTCAACTTCAACATGCAACATACAGTCATATATTCCCGACTGTGTGAATCTAAAAAGATTAAAAAAGCATAATTTTTCGTATAATTTAAGAATCGAATAGATCGCTCAATAAGACCCAGAACTGACCCACAGTTAGGGCTGGTTCTATCAAATCCACTTTTCGAAAGAAGTAACCTCCAAGCTGACTGACACATATATAGCTGTCACGTCAATCGGACCATAAACAGGAAAGCTAATAGGAAAAATATCATGCAAGCTCTGCAGTGGCTTGGAAAATGTTATCCGGATTCTGTTTCGCCGAAAACAACGATAGGCCAGTGGTATGCTGATTCCAAACGCGGTCGCACTGATATAAATGATGCAGAACGCTGGACACGGGTAAAAAACCTATAAAACTATAAAGAAAGCTATAAAATGTCATCTTGCAGACTAGTTAGTTTTTAGGGTACAAACAGACATTCCACGTGAGCGTCCATTTATGGAGGAATGACTCAGCTACTCGCATTGTTGGTTGCATATGTTTTGTGAAGCCGAGTATTCTCTAGTTTTCATCTATGAGAAGGAAGTTGGTTGAATAGCAAGATCGCATGTGGATGATTATGTCTATTGGTCGGCATGCGTATAGAATGAGTGATATTTGCTGTGTGAGAAAATCATTACGTACTGAATATTATTGCGATGAAGTATATCTATTAGTTGTGCCCGACGTATTATATATATGTTGGCCTTTTTGAAGACAGGTTATGGTCAAAGTTATAAATTACGATTTTTTACGTTTTTTTTGTGTTTTCCAAAACGCCCGCGTTGTGTGTGATTACTGTTAGCGTGCATATGACTTGTAACTCGACAGTTTTGAAATTCGGCAGATTTGCATATGTAGTTTTCAGAATGGATAAGAAAAAGTGGATGCGCAACTGATTTTTAGCTTTGAATCTCTCACGTAAGTGTATTTGAGACAAGAATCCGATAGAATTTTCATCAACAGATTATTAGCACACAAATCTTCACTATGCATTGCCATTTCCTTCTAGCTATACTATACAACTTACAGCTTAGACCTTCAGTAATGCCATGTCTGAAGCAGATTTTAAATCAAATCAGTCAAACATTGATAACTGAAGCCTCATGACGTTTAGGCAAATCGTACAACGACAAAACGAGTTTACAACGTGTCCATCAGCTAGCGCTAGTTAACATCTTGTAGAAAAACCTACATAATGTCACAAAAAACCAATACAATGTAAAAAAAGTCGACATAATGTCACTTTTTAAGATACGTATTACCTGTGCAGGTAAGATAAACGAAGCAGTGGCTTCGGAAAATATTAAGCAAGTTTGAAAATCGTGATGGATGATCGCAACTGAAAGTTTGTGAGATTGCTGAGATGCTAAATATATCAACTGGAAGTGCGTTTACATTTTACACAAAAATTGGGTTTGGGTTTGCTCACAATGCAACAAAAGCAACAACGAGTTGACACTTGAGAGGTGTTTGTCACTGTTTACTCGCAATAAACAGCATTTCTTGCGTCGATATGTGGCAATGGACGAAGCAAGGATCCATCGATCCACTTCAGAGTCGAATCGCCAGACAGCTGACTGGCGGGTACGTGACGGAAGTCGTCCGAAAACACAACAACCAGCTGTCAAAACCAAGGCGTTGGTTTTTTGGGATGTGCACGGTGTAAATTCCATCAACTACCTTCAAAAGGTAAAACACATCAACAGCGACAATTACATTGAGTTATTGGTGCGTTCGGAAGACGAACTCGCAAGAAACAAAGCAAATAATCTTTCATTAAGACAATGCACAAGTCATTAAAAACAATAGCCAAATTGGACGAGTTTCGCTTCATTATGCTTCTCCAACCTCCATAATCTCCAAATCTAGACCTCAACGCCTATTGGCTGTTTGACGATCTAAATATGCTATAGGGAAGAAGACTTGACTCTAATGAGGAAGTAATCCCTGCAACTGAAGCTTTTTTGTAGGCAAAGAACAAATCGTACTAACACTTATACGATGTGTTAGGAGATAAACTTCCGTTAGACTGGTATTTATTTACTCATATTGTGACCACCTATGACCCTTGATAATTTGACAGTAGTTGAGTACGTTGGACTAGTCTTCTGTAGCAGGATCAATACAAATCGCAATAAAAATAGACTACATGGTGTTTCAAATTCGACCAAGTTGCCAGAATGGGGGAAAAGCTGCGAATTTAGATAATCAACAGAATGTCGCTTAAAACGTTCCGAAATTCAATGTACTTCCGGAAAGAGACCGAAAAAAAAAACGAATTTTCTCAAAAATCGATTAAATTTTTTCCTGATTTCATTTGTAGTGAGATTGCAAAATAAATTATATGTGCAAGATGGCACAGTAGAATTTCATTATGAAGTTTCGTCGCTTGCCCTCCAGTAGAGCAGAAAAAGTGACAATGTTATAATTTATTTTGAAATCCCACTACACATAAAACGAAATTAAAACGATATTGGGAAGATTCGTTTTTATCCACCTCTCCCCGGCACGGGTATCACGTATCTGCTGATTTTTTTTGGACATTATGCTGTTTTTTTTTTGACATTATGGAGGTTATTCTACAAGATGTTAACCTAGCACTTAGTTGTACGTGTTGCCTAATCGTCATGAGGCTTGTTATCAATCTTTGGCTCTGATGTGATGTAAAATCTGCTTCTGAGATGGCATTACCTGTAAGTTGTATATGTTGATGATAATACGTTGGGCTCTTGTCTCAAATACACTTAATTGGGATTCAAAGCTAGAAATTAGTTGCGCATCCAATTTTTCTTATCCATTCTGGATATTACATATACAAATTTGCTGAATTTCAAAAATGAGGGAGATAAGAAATAATTATATTCGCTGTACACTGTCGAGTTACAAGCCATATACATGCTAACAGTAATTACACACAACGCGGTCGCGGTGATGATTTCCCGGACCTAATTCTCCTCAGTTTTTCGTAATTTATAACTTTTAACATAACCTCTCTTCAGAAAGCACAACATATAAATAACCCATCATATTCGGCATATTCAGTAATGATTTTTTCACACAGCAAATATCACTGATTTTATACACAACCAACTTTCTTCTCAGAGATAAAAACTAAACTAAAGACCCGGATCAGTCAGCGTCACAAAACTATGAAACCAATAATGCGTAGTTTAGTTGAGTGATTCCGCCATAGATGGACGTTCACATCGATCCTAGTGAACAAACGTGGAATGACTGTTTGCGCCCTAAAAACTACCTAGTCTGCAAGTTGACATCCTATAGGTTTTTTTTGACGTTTTATAGGTTTCTTACATGATACACGTGCGGAAGTACTTTGAATTTCGAAACGTTCTAAGCGGCGTTTTGTTGATTACCTAAATACGCAACAATAATTTGAAATACCGTGCATCTAAGTCTATTTTGATTGTGAGTAGCTCAATATATTTCTATTGACCTAGTCTAGGAGACAGTGAGTCCAAACTCACCTCTGCCTTCACATGCTTTAAGTATTGCGACTATTTTCCCTCTGATACAGAATCCGTAATATCCACCCCTACCCACAGCAGCAGCTTCCACCTAAGTCGGTGTTCTCGTTCAAGCCCCAGCGGCTCAGACTAACCCACTCACTTACATATTTATGGAAAGGGAAGATATCCCGGCGAACGGCCATGCATTCGCGATCGAAAGGGGGTCATTTTTGCTGCCACCGACGATGCCATGACGGACGGTCAGGTGTCACCCGGGAAAACCTGGGAAATCGAAGACTGCTCCTTGCTACGTTAATATTCTGTTCGACGGTGAACGTACACGGTGGCCAACGAGATGTGGAAAATAAAATGAAAGGGGGCATTTTTGCTGGCACCGATGATGTCGCGATAGACCGTCAGGTGTCACCCGGGAGAACCTGGAAAATGTAAGGCTGCTGCTACGTTAATGTACTGTTCGACTTCAAGCGTACAGGATGGTCCACGGCACGTGGGAAATAATAAAACGGCTGTAGTTTCTGCTGACACCGATAATGCCGTGACGGAAGGCTGCGTTTTGGTACGTTGATATTCTGTTCGACGATGAACCTACACGGTGGCCAACTAGATGTGGAAAATAATGAGAGGGGGTCAGTTTTGCTGGCATCGATGATGTCGCGATAGACGGTCAGGTGTCACTCGGAAAAATGGCTGCTGCTTGCTACGTTAATATACTGCTCAACTTTGAGCATATAGGGTGGTCCACGGAATGTGGGAAATAAAAGGGCTGTCATTTTTGCTGACATCGACAATGCCGTGACGGATGGTCAGGTGTCACCTGAGAAAACTGGTAAGTCGAATGCTGCTTCTTGCTAGCCAGGTTAACATTCTGCCCGACAATGAGCAGCCAACGAAACATACAAAACTAATCAACGGCCTATCAAGAGGTCTATCTGGTACCCACGATGCCGTGACAGATGGTAAGAAAGTGCGGTATATTGTTCACCGAAGCGTAAAAATACAAGTGGCAATAACGTCACAATGGGAGTGTCTTCTAGATTTGAGCAAGGAACAATTTCTAATCACTTGACTTTATTGTCAGTCAATGGTCGGATTCCGTAAAATAACATCCCTGGAACGACATGTAGGACCGGGCAAGTAATTTCGAAGTTGGTACGTGTACGACTCCATCGTTACTATGCTTACCCCTCAAAACTTTCCACCATGTGTGTACTAATAGTTATTTTTACATCGAGCGCATGCATGCGCAACGAGAAAGAGACGTCGATATCACGCCATTGCCACTTTACCAGAGAGATTCACTTGTACAACATTGAACAAATAAACACGTATGCCTTCGACTGGGTCTATCTTTCTTAAACCACCGTTGAACAGCAGCAAAACAACTCTTTTTATGTAACAATATCAATCAATTTCGTACGGCTATAGAATAACTGGATTACGTCTCACCTGTCGGTTGTTGAGGTGATGGTGTCCAGGTATCAGCAAGCGTATCAACAGACGCACTGCGTTCCCTGCCTGCACTTGCCTGTGCCTGTTCCTTTTTCCTGTCCTGTCTGTGCTGCTGTCGGCCGCTGCTGCCGCTGCTTGTCCTGGTGCTGCGACCGGGCGGCGACCTGCTCATCGGCGCTTGACTCCACCCCCTGATGACCGGCTGCTACTGCGCTGGCTGTGTGGTTCCGCCTCTGACCTAGGCCACGCCCACTGCGTTGCATTGGCGCCACCTACATCGCTGTCACTTTCGCCGCCCACCGGTAGCTGAAGCGGACACACAAAGCACCCGTCACCGGTTAGTTTTACAGGCAAGCATGCAAGATTATGGACGACACATAGCTACAGTTTACGCAAAATTATCTATTTAAAATGTTACACTCTCCCAAAATGGTCCAGTAGATCAAATTATGTTTTCATAAGAGTGCTTTGGGAAGAAACGGCGGTTTATAATGGGTTCAGTTTTGGATATCATATGTAACAAATGTAAGACCAGTCAAATAAAAAAAAATCTGGGGAAATCGGAGAAATCTATTTAGCCATTATAATAATGCATATAAAGTAATATTACACATTAGTGGCTTATTTCTACATTATACATCCAACCAAAAGATTAGGTATCCTTGGTAGGACTACGTTTTCGATATTACCACGGAGACAAGAGTCAAGACGTCTTTGTGTTAATGTAACTAGATAACAAAACGTTTTTGGCTGATATGTGAAAACTGTGGAAAAAACTCAGCCTTTGCGCTGGAACAGGCTATTTTTGGATTCTCGTTTTAAATTGTTTTCTATAAATGAATAGTGACAAAACTTGCCGGGCAAAGTTTGAACGTAAAACTTTGTGCCCGTGCTGTGATGTAATAAGTTTTAGAGTTACGTGAGTTCTGTCCTTTGAATATGACACAACATCCGCCGCCATAGATCATAACCTTTATACACTCACATTGAGAGTTTTGCCTAGGATGTATGGTCATACTCTATCGGCATCCCGGATAAAAAAAATTTAACCCAAAAAGTGTGTCCAACACATAATCTATACAACGTGTAAATAATGCTATTTAAAATGAAAATTTCTGGAAGAACAACCCATCAAGGGCGTTAGAAATACAAAGAGATTTTATCATTGATGTTGTTCCCTGGAGTACACCCTTCACGATGACATTACAAGAGAAAGGTAATATACGATCGAAGTTTTTGGTACTCGAAGGATCCATCATTCGTTGTTGTGAAGGGGAACGGCCAAAATAAGTAAACCTACTGCGTGTCTTAGCTGCAGAAACATGCCGAAACTTTTTTGGCAAACCGAAAAAAGCTGCGAGGTGGTACTGCTCCGGTAGGCTGATCCTTATCAACAATCATGTTTTTGTTTGAACATGATTTTGAATAGGCTTTAAGTAGCTCTTTGACACACTTGCACCGTCGCCCGGCAATTGGTACTGAGGTTTCCCTTAAAGCATGTGCGGAACAAGTATTCGCCACTCTGTAAAAAAAGCTTGGATTGTGCCAAAGTATTAGATTTTGATACAGCATGGTGCACTAGTATACAAAATGTTCAATTTTTGACAAAAGTATGTTCCTAGAACCACCCAGTATAGATTATAATCAGTTTTTTGTTACAAAATCATTATATTATTTTGTAGTAGGAAATGAGAAATTTCGTTCGAAAAACCGCCCTTTTGTTTAACGGAGGATTTCCTCGAACTGCGCCGAATGGAAACTGTAAAACATTCATACAGGGTGTTTCAGTTTATTGTTGCATAACTTTAAGATTCGATAGAGCTTCTAAAATTAATGCATAAAGTCTATATAAACATGGGTCAAAAAATGCGTGGCTTCCAAAATACAGGGTGTTTAAATTTACTTCCTAAAATAGTTTTTTTTTTAAATATTTTGAACAATATTTGATGTATAACAGTGAAAATTGGTATACAAGGGTTTTTTCATACAGCAAAACGAACCATGGACATAGTTTTACTGTAGCCGCTAGAGGGCGCTCTCTACTGTACCTGTAGTGTATTAAAATGACCGAAATTTTTTTCTTAGTGCAATTTTTTGCTTTTTGGAAAAAAACTGATTCTTCGCACTTTTCAACATAAAAAAGCTCTCCTGTGAGTTTTCGTTATAGTTAGCCGTTTTTGAGATATTTCGATTTTTATGGTTCGATGCATTTTTAATTATTTATGGGAAAATAATATTTTTTTCTTACATTTTCGATTTGATCATTTCAAGTAATTAAGACGATCGTTTAGATTGTGTTTTCAAACACAGCAATAATTCCTAACTCCAAATAAACACAAAAAACAGAATATTAATTTGTTTAATTTTCCAATATTATTTTTAACAAATTAAATTAATTATTTACAACTAAAATGCTATTGGATAGTTAGGACAAACATACAAAATCTAAAGTAGTTGCTTGAAATGTAAACCCAATTGTTCAATACACAATTCACATTTACGAATGATCGAACGTGGTATAGCATTATTCAAATAAGGCCTTATTTCATCACATGCATTCCTGATTCTGTCTATTAGCATATCTCTTGTGGTTACGGGAGTCTGGTACACTTTTTCTTTTTGAAATCCCCACACAAAGAAATCTAATGGATTTAGGCCAGGGGATCGTGGAGGCCAGGCGACTGGTCCTCCACGGCCGATCCATCTTTCTGGATAATTTTCGTCCAGCCAGTTTCTAACTATCCTCGAATAATGAGCTGGACAACCCTCAAGCTGGAACCAGGCCAATCTTTTTAAATCTAACATAACATCATCCCACATATTTGCATGTTCAGCCTTTAAAAATTCCAAGAAGGTCGCAGCATTTAACCTTGCAGGCAAAAGGTAGGGTCTAAATAGTCGATTACGGTAGATACCAATCCACACGTTCACACTAAATTCATGCTGAAAATTTCTTTCCCGAACTGCATACTTTCAATTTCAAAAATATTTGCAGGCACAGCCTACTTCTAAAAATTATCGAGATACTGACTTTTTAACGTTATTTTATCATAAATAATTAAAAATGCATCGAACCTTAAAAATCGAAATATCTCAAAAACGGCTAACTATAACGAAAATTCACAAGAGAGATTTTTTATGTTAAAAAGTGCGAAGAATTAGTTTTTTATTCAAAAAGCAAAAAATTGCACTAAGAAAAAATTTTCGGTCATTTTAATACACTACAGGTACAGTAGAGAGCGCCCTCTAGCGGCTACAGTAAAACTATGCCCATGGTTCGTTTTGTCGTACCAAAAAACCCTTGTATACCGATTTTCACTGTTATACATCAAATATTGTTCGAAATATTTAAAAAAAAAACTATTTTAGAAAGTAAATTTCGGAAGCAACGCATTTTTCGACCCATGTTTATATAGACTTTATGCATTAATTTTAAAAGTTCTATCAAATCTTAAAGTTCTGCAACAATAAACTGAAACACCCTCTATATAGCTTTTTGTACTGCATAAGAACAGATATGTTCGACCCTCTTGAACTAGAAATAGAAACACCATGTACGTTACATATATCAAACTGGTTTGAATGGACAACTTTGACATTTCTATACGGTTTACTCTAACCTTCTGGTATACAGAAGCTTATCTAGTAACATCATTATGCAATTATATAAAGTCAAAGCTTCACACCCTCAATTCTTAAATATACTCTTATCTATGTCCGTAATGCCGTAATTAACATTATTCAGGAAGGGAGGAGGCAGAAGGAAACAAAAGAAAAACGTCTGACAGGATAACAAGGAAATGATGGTAGCATATGGACAGAATTCGAGCTAAGCTGTATTTTAATAAAATACAATGTTTGCTTGACGATAACTCTGGTGTTACGGGTTGGGATAGTGGCCTTTAGTCGCTGGCTGGGACTGTGCCGGTCGGAGATATTCTTTAATAATTCAGATTGCCGGTCGGTAGACGTATAATGGGAGGGAAGTATGGCGAAGAAACACGTTTGATCAGATTCAGCGTAACTTTTCCTTCTCTTACGCAACTGGTGAAGAATACCTTGTAGCCGTGGAAAGCCATCTTTCTCTATTCCTATTGAAATTTTTTTTATTAAGTGTAGCTTCTGATAAGTAAAAACTGACAAGCGAGTAGAGAAGTTTGGTGTGAATGAATAGCATTGTTATATTGGGGTGTTTTTTTTTCAACGTTTGGTATTCTTTGAATTTGTGTGTATTGTTAAGGTTCATTACATATATTTTGTTTTTTGCTATTTTTTTATAGCTCTGAATATAGATATACAGTTGATTGTATTTTGATGGATTTTTTGGTTGGACACCTCAATATCTGTTCACTTGTTCCTAAATTTAATAGTTTGCGGCAACATATACTTTCTGAGAAATATGCTATGTTAGCATTATCAGAAACGTGGTTGAATAGTATAAGCGATAATACAGTGTATATTCAAGGTTATGATCTTGTTAGGATTGACAGAAGTACCAGGGGTGGAGGAGTAGGTTTGTACAAATTGACACATAATATTGAACAACTTTGGGTCTCAGTTGCACTTAAAGGTAAATCATACGCAGTTGGGGTAGGACCACCACATTTCAATTATAAATATTTTATCGATGAACTTGAAGAATCTTTATGTGTGGCTATGCTCCGTGAGGATAAAGTGATATGTCTAGGAGACGTGAATATAAACTTCCTCGACACTGAGGCTGCACTACAAATTAAATGCTTGAAATGTTAGATTCTACAGGTATACAGCAAATAGTGGAAGAAGCTACTTATATTACTAATACATCGGCGACATTAGTAGATGTTATTCTTGGCAAAGATCCTTCAATGATCAAATCTAATCACGTTGGCGGATTAGATTTAACAGATCATGAACTGATTTCGTGTAAGGTACTACAAGATAAACATAAAATTGAACCACTCTTTTACACTTATCGGAGCTTTAGGAGTCTTGAAATGGATAAATTGAATGCTGATTTGCAAAATCTTCCCTTAATTGATATATGTTACTTGTCAGATATTGTACGAATAGGTGAATTTGTTCAATCATTTAATTCTAACTTTGTTTGACAAGCACATTTGAAAACGTACAAAATCACTAAGCCTAAAGCTCCCTGGCTGAAGGATGATATAAGGAATTTGATGTGTAATATGGATGCAGCAAGGTCTAAGTATAGACAAAAATCCGAACGATTCAAATTGGAATGCATATAAAAAACTAAAAAACAAAACCAATCATGCTATTCTACAGGAAAGAAGAAAGTATTTTGATAAAATTGCTCAGAG